AAAAAAAAAAAAAAACTTTTTTTTTTTTTTTTTTTCTTTTCCTCTTCTTCAGCAATTGTAGTGTACAGGCTGCCATGGACCTGGAGGTGCAGCAAGCAGATGATGAAGCTTATCCACGCAGGGCTGAACATTCTCGCCTTCATCTTGGCTGTCATTTCTGTGGTGGCTGTGTTTGATTTCCACAATGCAAAGAATATTCCCAATATGTACAGCCTGCACAGCTGGATTGGCCTGGCTACTGTCATACTCTATCCAGCACAGGTTTGCTTTCACAGACACACTGCTACATCTACCACTTCAACCCTCCTACACTTTTGCCACATTCAGTCCACTTATATCAAAAACAGTAGTACTTACACAATTTCATTTAGACCATTTCCACCCTCTTTCTGACTAGTAAAATGTAATCATACATGCTGTTTTTGCTACAGTGTCTTTGAGATTTCAATACAGTATTTAAATGATATCTGTCATCTACCCTAAACACTACTAGTCAAAAGATTGGAATAATTAAGAATTTCTTTTATCTTTTTGAAAGAAGTCATTTATCTTCCCCAAAGCTGCAACAATTTTAAACTTTTTTTTTTTTTTTTTCAAAAAAATTTAAATTTTGAAAAGTTTCTGTCATACTCTATCCAGCACAGGTTTGCTTTCACAGACACACTGCTACATCTACCACTTCAACCCTCCTACACTTTTGCCACATTCAGTCCACTTATATCAAAAACAGTAGTACTTACACAATTTCATTTAGACCATTTCCACCCTCTTTCTGACTAGTAAAATGTAATCATACATGCTGTTTTTGCTACAGTGTCTTTGAGATTTCAATACAGCATTTAAATGATATCTGTCATCTACCCTAAACACTACTAGTCAAAAGATTGGAATAATTAAGAATTTCTTTTATCTTTTTGAAAGAAGTCATTTATCTTCCCCAAAGCTGCAACAATTTTCAACTTTTTTTTTTTTTTTTTTACAAAAACATTAATATTGTGAAATGTTATTACAAGTTAAGTAACAGTTTCCTATTTGAATACATTTAAAAATGTAATTTAATATAATTTTTAAATGAAACCATGGCATTCTGTGATGGCAAAACTGAAATTTAGCAGCCGTTACTCTAGTCTTCAGCATCGCATGTAGAAATAATTGTAATATGCTGATGTGCTGCTCAGTTATCATCAATTATTATTTACAAGTTAAGTAACAGTTTCCTATTTGAATACATTTAAAAATGTAATTTAATATCATTTTTAAATGAAACCATGGCATTCTGTGATGGCAAAACTGAAATTTAGCAGCCGTTACTCTAGTCTTCAGCATCGCATGTAGAAATCATTGTAATATGCTGATGTGCTGCTCAGTTATCATCAATTATTATTGGTGGTCAGTTATCAATAATGGTTCTTCTTATCAATGTTGAAAAGTCAAGTTAAGTCAAGTGACCTTTATTTATATAGCGCTTTATACAATTCATATTGTGTCAAAGCAGCTTTACAGTGTCAAACAGGAAAAACGTGTGCTGATAATGCGAAAGGACAATAGAAAACAACCAGTTTATCAGTTAAAGTCAGTTCACTGTTGATTCAGTGGTCATCATCCAGCTCAGTTCAGTTCTCTTTAAATAGTGTCTGTGCAGTCAAGGCAAAAATGTTGCCAGAAATTGTGTCCCTAACTAACTATCTGTGAGACAAATCACCATGTATGAATTTCCTTTTTATAGCACATATATTTCAAGACTTATATTTCTAACATTGTTGCAAGCAACAAACATTAACATGACAGTTACTCTCACAGTTACAGTGTCAAACAGGAAAAACGTGTGCTGATAATGCAAGAGGGCAATGGAAAAGTTTTTCAGTTAATTGATAATTCAGTGATGCCTCTCTTGCAATAGTGTCTGTGCAGTCAAGTTAACAATGTTGCCAGAAATTAAGTGTCCCCAACTAAACAAGCCAGAGGCGACAGCGGCAAGGAACCAAAACTTCACCAGTGACAGAAATGGAGAAAAAACCTTGGGAGAAACCAGGCTCAGTCGGGGGGCCAGTTCTCCTCTGGCCAGAGGAAACCAGCATGGTGTGGTTTAATTCCAGGCTGCAGCACACGTCAGATTGAGCAGAGGACTCGTCTGGTTCCTGTGGTCTTGTGCCGATGGCCGACGAGGTGATGCTTCGCGTCGTGCATTACAACGCCCCTTAGCTGTAATAAATTCACTGTAAATCACGGCTTCTTGGGGCTTATTGCATTATTTTAAGGGCTGTCTCAATCTTGAAATCCTTCCAGTGCACTGAAACGTTCGCTCCCTGAAAAATCCCACAATGCTCCGCAAAAACTATGGAGCATCGGTGCTCACTATGTTCCCTTACTGGAAATTATGTCACATTTCTAAAGTGCTAAACATAAACCACACGAGCCAACTCGATAAATATAATGACACACAATAGAAGATTTGAAAAGATTTTTAGTTTTTTTTTTTAGTATATTTCAACATAAACACACATCGCTAGACAGGTAATGAACACATTTAGTTAACAATTATTATTCATATTCGGCTGAAATGTTGTAAGAACATGTAAAAGAACAATGTGTTTAAAGAGAATAAAAAATAATATCAAAAAGAGATTGATCCTGCCTGCTGTTGATTAAATCCAGCGTTGACGTTCTACAGTGTTGTCCGTTGATGTTGTACGTAGTCATGTCACCGGAAATTGAGTAATCACTGTCCCAATGTGCAGTGAGCCAGAACTTACCAGTGACCAAATTCGTGTACACGATACACTGATTCACGAGCTCGGAAGCTAGGGAGCTGATTGAGACGCACCCATGGTCTCCGCTGGCATTCAGGGCTGTAGAGAGGTCGTCTCTTAACAGGAAAACGTCTTTTATCGGGAAAACAGTTTTTGCTACATTAAAATCTTTGAGACCATGATACATTTTTTTTCAGGATTCTTGGATGAATAGAAAGTTCAATGAACAGCATTTATTTGAAAAAAAAAAAATATATCTTTTATCACATTAAATAAATGTCTTTACTGTCACTTTAAATCAGTTGAATATGTCCTTGTTCAATAAAAGTATTATTATAATGTTTTCAATCTTGTTTCTTGAGCAGCATATTAGAACATATAAATTTTTTTTAAAAACTGGTAATTATTCCAAACTTTTGACCAGTAATGTGTGTGTGTGTGTGTGTGTTTTTATTTTTATATATTATTTTTTATTCAAATTTTGTAACGTTTATGTTAGAGCCCTCTCAGGTGTGATGTGTTCCTCTCCCTTACTATTTATTAGATAGTTATGGGCATTGCCGTCTATCTGATACCTGCAACTCCAGTGTACGTGCGTGCTGCTCTTATGCCTGTACACATCTACAGCGGCCTGTTCATCTTCACCAGTGTTATAGCCACAGCTCTCATGGGCATCACAGAGAAACTCATATTTAGCCTGTAAGTACAGCTTCAGACAACACAAACCATACAAATGCATCGAGTCCTGGATCTGTACATGACATGTAATCAGTTTCTGTGCGCTTTAAAAGCCAAAGCAAATTTGTACTTAGTAAAGGTGTTTCTTAGTGTTGTTTGTAATGTCTTACAGGAAGAGCCCTGCTTATAAAGAATCTCCACCGGAAGCTGTTTTGGTCAATCTTCTTGGGCTGCTCATTGCTGCATTTGGTGGTCTTATTCTCTGGATTGCTACTCGCCCCTCTTGGAAGAGGCCGAGAGAAGAAATCACACAAGGCGTGAGCAATAACAGCTCAAGCCCAGAGGGCGTCAAAGTGGGCACTGCCATGACCTCAAGAACCGAGCACGAATCCAGCCTCGAGACACGCAGACGCAACGGAAAAGCAGAAGAGTCTGGATAAACAAAGAGTTTTGAAACAAGTTTGTGGATTTTAGTTCATTTCATCTCAAAGAAAACAGAAGTGTCATTCCAAACATTTTTTATTTTTATTTTAAAAGTTATTCAGAAAAAAACTCTAGGTATTGCTTTAAAGGGATAGTTCACCCAAAAATGAAAATTCCGTCATTCTGTCCTTACTACCTTTCCTTGAACGTGTCAGGTGTGTTGCTGTCTATGCAGGGTCAGAAAGCTCTCAGATTTCATAAAACATATCTTAATTTGTGTTCCGAAGGTTTTACGGGTTTGGAAAGATATGAGGGTGAGTAATTAATGACATAATTTTCATTTTTGGCTGAAATTCCTACTGTCATATTTGAAGGGCATTTTAAACTGACAACTGTGTTTGCGCTGTATTGTCTCTTTGCTGTCATTAAGAACATATAGATGTTCTTATAGAACATAGATTTTTTTAATTTTTTTTTTTTTTGATATTTTAAAAGTATTTGCACTATTATAACATTTAACACACTAATGTATACATTAAAGCTCAGTTACATTATACTGCATTATTACAGTCATAAAGTGTTTATATCACTCCTGATTTGCCAGTTTGTTAATTTTAAACATATTGTAATTGAAATGTTTTCAGCTTTGTTACAATAGAAATATGCTATTGTTAGGGACATAAAAAAAAAAAGTAAAACTTACTATAACATTTTGTATATCTGTTGGAACATATCAAAACTAGTCACTCCTGATTTGCCAGTTTGTTAATTTTAAACATATTGTAATTGAAATGTTTTCAGCTTTGTTACAATAGAAATATGCTATTGTTAGGGACATAAAAAAAAAAGTAAAACTTACTATAACATTTTGTATATCTGTTGGAACATATCAAAACTAAGACTTGGTTTGTATTTTATATTACCAAAATTATGTATCATTTGACGGAGGATTTTTGTATGAAATGCTCAAAATCATTAAATATTTTAGCATATTTGTGGACCTTTTTTTTTCTTCTGAAATAACAGGGTGAGGATAACGTCATACAATGAACCAATGTGTTTTGTACCTTATTTAGAATGCCAAAAGCATGGCTGGATGATTGAAGTAAATATGCAAAGCAAAAAAAAAAAAAACATGCATACATGTTATTATCTGTTGTATGGATAATATGTCTGGTTTGTCCAGTGTCCATATTGCCCAGACTGCTATGTACATGATATAATAGTCTTTACTTGCAGTACAGTAGTTCATAAGCAATAAAAAGCCAGTTTTGTTTCCTAAAGTACAGTGACTGGATTGTAAAAATAAAATCACGTTACAGTGTGAGGGACCTCTGCAAACGGTTCAGCGCTACAAACTCAATCGCGAACAATTTCAGACCTTCTTGCAAACCAGTCTGATCGATTATTTATTCGCGAATTTGGTATGGCTTTTTTTTTTTAGGAGAAAACGCGAAATTGCTGAACTTTACATGCATACATGTTATTATCTGTTGTATGGATAATATGTCTGGTTTGTCCAGTGTCCATATTGCCCAGACTGCTATGTACATGATATAATAGTCTTTACTTGCAGTACAGTAGTTCATAAGCAATAAAAAGCCAGTTTTGTTTCCTAAAGTACAGTGACTGGATTGTAAAAATAAAATCACGTTACAGTGTGAGGGACCTCTGCAAACGGTTCAGCGCTACAAACTCAATCGCGAACAATTTCAGACCTTCTTGCAAACCAGTCTGATCGATTATTTATTCGCGAATTTGGTATGGCTTTTTTTTTTTAGGAGAAAACGCGAAATTGCTGAACTTTTACAGTAAAATTACTGTAAACTATCAGGGACACAGTGGTATGTACAAGTTAAGTACAATAATACAACAAAATTAAATTAACCAATAAGGAGGTGAAAAAACGGACATCTACAACAAATGATATTTTTATTGTGTTTTGTTGTTGTCGTTTCTGTGCGTTTTCCCACCATTTTGACCACGATTTCTGAAGCTTGTTTAAATATCGAACTATTAAAAGTGTGGGTGATTGACGAACTAACAACAGTGACTGGATTGTAAAAATAATATCACGTTACAGTGTGAGGGACCTCTGCAAACGGTTCAGCGCTACAAACTCAATCGCGAACAATTTCAGACCTTCTTGCAAACCAGTCTGATCGATTATTTATTAGCGAATTTGGTATGGCTTTTTTTTTTTTAGGAGAAAACGCTAAATTGCTGACCTTTTACAGTAAAATTACTGTAAACTATCAGGGACACAGTGGTATGTACAAGTTAAGTACAATAATACAACAAAATTAAATTAACCAATAAGGAGGTGAAAAAACGGACATCTACAACAAATGATATTTTTATTGTGTTTTGTTGTTGTCGTTTCTGTGCGTTTTCCCACCATTTTGACCACGATTTCTGAAGCTTGTTTAAATATCGAACTATTAAAAGTGTGGGTGATTGACGAACTAACAAACTGACTAACGAACTAAATAAATAACATTTCTCCATTTACACTGTTACCAATGTACATTAAACTTGTTCTGTACCTGGTCATGTCCAAGAAGCATCTGATTCATTTGCAGAAGAGCGCGAGAATAGAACGGTTGAGACGGAAGCTTTATTATGACGCACTGCGTTACAACAGTCAAAAAAAGAGCGGGAGAAACCGTATGCAGGTGTAGTGTGTGATCAGGAGTAAGGTAAGTCACATATCCAGTATGATTATTAAAGTACCTTTACCTGATGGAAAACAAGCGGGTCTAGTTGTCACACTTTACGCCAGTAAATATTTACAATGGCCTTATTTTTAAGGCATTCTGATTATACTGACTACAAAAATATTCACATTTCCAATATTATTGCCCTAAAAACAAACACAGTTGCCACACTATGTGGGTTAAATTGTCATAAAGGGAACTAATTAGCAGACTAATCATTTCTTTAAACAATTTCCATTCTAAATTATTATCTTTTTGTCTTTCTAGAAAATGGTTAGCGACAACGTTCATTGTGATACAATGAGTCAAAAAGGAGAAGAAGAAAAAGATAAAGTGGGGAACGCTTGTGCCGTCATCTCCAGACGTGGTGGTCTCAGCCGCTACACCTGCTGAAGGGGCCAAATTGTCGTCCTCTACCTCTTCCTCCTCCTGGAAATGCAAATTTCCATCTTTGCGCCGGGTTTTCCACAGAATGCTATCTGTGATTCTACCATGCGTGTCATCGTCCTCATCTGATGGGTCTTCCTTACCCGCAGTCAGCGGATCCTCTGATCCAGAGGTCGATCTGCAGACTGCGACCCACGAGAAAGACGCAAACAGAGGTTAGAGAATGTTTGGAGGTCATCCAGCTTTCCTAGTGTACATTAAAGTTGTAATTTGCACAACAGAACTGTATTATTATCTATTCACAGACATCACTGGAGAGCAGAGCTCCCCCTCCAGCACTGAGGATACTGCCTCATCTGCAGAAAGTAGACCCTCAGATCTGGAGTCCAGCGGAGGCTACACCTCTACCAGCGCTGATGTTTCCTCCTCTGAAGAGAGTGGGAAGATTGATCTGCTGGCTGAACTTCAGGCCGCAGCAGTTCGTGAAGGGTAGAGAAGTTAAAGGGGTCATATGATGCGATTTCAATTGTTCCTTTCTCTTTGGAGTGTTACAAGCTCTTGGTGCATAAAGAAGATCTGTAAAGTTGCAAAGACTAAAGTCTCAAATCCAAAGAGATATTATTTATAAAAGTTAAGAGTCAGCCACGCCTACCTAAAACGGCTCGTTCTAACACGCCCCCACATGTCTACATCACCATGTGGGAAGATTTGCATAACGCCGCCCAAATGTTCACACAAAGAAAGAAGGCGTAACTTTTATTCTCGCTGTAGTTTTGTTGTTGCTGCCGCTGCTGCCATGTCGTGAAGGCGCTGTGTGTTTCGTTGTAAAAGCGAAACTACTTTGTTTGGTCTTCCAAAAGAGGACGATATCCGCTTCGTCATTTTAGCAGCATCATATGACCCCTTTAATTAAAACTGTTAATGTGTTAATAACTATATAATAAATTAGCCTAATATGCCATGTACTGTATAATACAGTAATTCATTCAAACAAATTTTTATCTCTTCACAGATGCAGCTGGCGATCAAACCATCTCTGATGTGGATCTTGACTGGTGGGTGATGGGAATGAATGTTGCGTGTTCATGTAATTGCAGAGTACTTACTGTAATCAGAACCTCACATGGACAAACACAATATAAAGCGTTGCAGTGATGAGGTTTTTATGAAGGCCATCCTGGATGTTAGCGTCACCCAGCTCCCTTTGACCAAAACCCAAAGGAGTCTTCCATTGACTTTTGATATTTTGTTCATAATGATAATCTTGTTTTCCCATCCTCAGTGTGCAAGCCAGTATGTTCTTCCAACAGCATTGCCATCCAACATCAAGCACTTGGGGTAAATGTCACACAACTAGTTAAGTTTAAACACACATACATACTCGCATATAAAGTGCTTTTCTCAGCCGTCCTTTGATTGAAAACTTCCTATCAGTTTCCCCAATTTAGGAAACACATGCTAATCTAAGAGCTAAGAGCGTGTAGCCGTTCTTCCTGATGTCACGTGCCAGCCTCAAAACACCAGCTCATCCGACCTCCTTGATTCCTCATGGTCATCTTGGGCATCGAACACCAGAACATCCGTTTGCATTCCAGTTTCTGAAGGCTTTTCAGTCAACTTAAGGCCGGGCAGGTTGACTAGCTGTACTTTCCCTGGCAGTCAGCATTATTTGCCTTGTGGCCTCCTTCAGTGGAGAGATGCATTCATCTACATGAAATAAGAAATAAATTGTGTTTTTGTGAAGTGTCATCTGAAAGACGTACACTCACATGAGAAGAAGATGTTACTTACGTTTTTTTTATAAAACATATTTTAATTACATTGTGCGGGTCACACCTCTCTCAATGTATATTTCGGTATGTTAAAGTAACGTGACCCGTGGTGTTTCACTAAAGGTCAGATGCACTCGTAGCATAGTGCAGTTTGGTGATGTGAAGAGTGAAAATTACACAATAAAAACTCTTACTACTGTGCTTTACCAGCAGAGAAAACAAGTACCTGTGTGGCCAAAGAAGCAGAATAGTTCTGAAGCCAAAAGAAAGACTGACAAAAAACAAGTGTAAACATCAGTACAAGGAGGAAAGACTTGATGACAGACAAAATCCTGATACCCAGTTCACTTCTTTTTATAAGAAAGTAAGACCTTCATGCTGATCCATGTCAATAGATGGCAGAATTAATGAATGCCCCTTTAATGGTAGTCTAACCCAGTGGTTCCCAACCCTGGTCCTTGAGGCACCCCAACACTGCACATGTTGCATGTCTCCTTTCTCTGACGCACCAGTTTCAGGTGTTGGGAGTCTCAACTAATGAGCTGATGACCTGAATCAGGTGTGTTTGATTAAGGAGACATGCAGTTCCCAACCCTGGTCCTGGAGGCACCTCAACACTGCACATTTTGCATGTCTCCTTTCTCTGACGCACCTGATTCAGGTCATCAGCTCATTAGTTGAGACTCCCAACACCTGAAACTGGTGCGTCAGAGAAAGGAGACATGCAAAATGTGCAGTGTTGAGGTGCCTCCAGGACCAGGGTTGGGAACCACTGGTCTAACCAACAGACGTTAAAACATGCTGATTAGCAAAGAAATGTTTGGTATTGTGAGCATTCTAGAGATTAGAAGTGTCATGCTAAAAATACACCAAATTATGCAGATATGTCATCATTTGATGGTTTGTGTGTACTCCTATCTGTAGCACTGCTCCAGTTGCATAACTGGTATATGTTTGAGTCATACATCAACATTTTTCAGTAGTAACTCATCGACTTGTTTATTTTTTTCTCTTCTGACACTGCTCGCTTGAGCTTCACCTGACAGACCTCGAAACATTCAATCGAATTTATAGTTACTGAAAGACATGAAAAATAATCTTTGGGCAGTTCATGCACAGTAGGCGTCTTAGTACAAAATTACAAGACAAAATAAATAAACTGCATTGTAAAATATTTACAAAGAAAATCAAGACAATTCAGTCTTGGCATCTCATGCAACTTCCAAAAAAATATACAAACACTTTTTGAAGGGGTGGCATTGCAAACGAAATGCCCAGAGATATCACACGTGGATCTGTAAAAGCATCTCCATGTCTCTCTTTAACAGTGGGCTCACATACTGTGCAGAGGTGGACTTCCTCTAAACGTTTCACAACTAGAGATGCCTGATGCTGGCAAATTGTTCATAGCAAATGCAGAGACCGTCTCATGAGTAGCTCTCGTTCTCATTCCATGTAGTCATCCATTGCTTCTTCTCCAAGGGATCTAACATGTCCGTTCCATCTTTCAAGAGACGTGTCTCCTTACGAATCCTCACCGCGTGATATTTCGGAACGCTGTCCTCATATTTGGAGCGTTTGAAAAATCCACACTGACGGAGAAAGAACAGAAGCACATTAAGCATCATTGCAAAACTCGATTTGAAAATCATTCTGCGTTTATGTGCTTTGGAGAACACCGAGACGGGACATGCTTGACAAAACGGGACACGAAGAAGCACATCCATCGACACAATACAAAACAAAACCGGGCTTCACACGGAAAGAGCGAAGCACGCTGTGCAGCATGTGTCTTTCCCTTCCTTTTGTCAAAGGACAGGACGAGTTAGTGAGTTAGGCCACACGTCATGCAGACACCAATCTGCTGCAGCGATCGGGTTTTACCCTGGTAAGGAGAGCTAGGCCTCAGTGGACTGTTTGTCTGAGGGCTGAGCGTGAATCTCAGCTTTGTGAAAAGCGGCATCATACTCGTCCTTCTGGGCCCGCTTGAAGAAACCGCACTACAGAGGGGGCAAATTCAGGGGTCATTGCATACACGTCATGATAAGGTTTGTGCTAAACACCGTGGAATTCCACTGACACATCTTTTCATCTGATTAATCTACTGGTCACAAAAAGTATTTGGAGGGTAAAACCTGAATACAAATGTGGGGATGTCATTGCATACTCAAATGCTGCAGGAGAATTTGGCTGCACTCCTCGTTTTTGCTCAATGTCTTTGAATCAGTTGGTGTTTTGGTGATTTTAGTGAATATATATAGAGTCAGTTCTCCTCAAGACCACACAAGTTTCCTAGCAGAGGAACCACATGTGTAGAGAATCACATTAAAGGTGGGGTAAGCAATTTCTGCTAGCCAATGTTGACATTTGAAATCACCAAAACAAACACGCCCCAACCCCAAAAAGGGTCTTGCCCCTATTTTGATAGCTCCGCCCCACACATACGTACGCAACGATTAGTTCTGTGAAACAAAGCTTGTTGCACAAAAATGTTACACCGTGTCTACACCAGACGCGAGTGGCGCGGCGCAACAACATAACCCTTCTTTTGTTCCACAGACGTTTTCGTCTTTTGTTTTTTATCCGCCATCTCTATCTTTCTGTCGCTCGGCTCGGCTCGCTAATGTCCGTCCCGTGCACTGAAAACTTTCTCCTCCACATCATGAGTAGACACGCCCCTTACTGCTGATTGGCTACAAGTTTGTTTTGCTATTCGACCCGAATCAGTTTTCTAAAGCGTTTTTTGAAAAATCGCTTACCCCACCTTTAACTATCAACACGGTCCACTAACCCTTCGTGAAAAAGAAGTGCTCTTAATTGTACTGAAGGTGCACTTGTTGTGTACTTAAAAGTATATTTTAAAAAACTGTACTTGCAGATAATATAATATTAAGTAAAACACCACTTAAGTGTACTTAGAGCACACTTTCGTGACTGTTTTCAACACACTTAAGTACACTTTTAAAATACATTTAAAATAATATAATATTGTGTTGTGTGTTAAAGTACACTTGTTTTGACTAGCATACTAAATCCTATCCTATCCTACTTGATTATAATTTTAACTGTATTGTGTTATATATTGGATATTATATTTGAAGGTTAATATTTTTTTATGTACTAAATTTCAACTTTATCATTACAAATGTGTAATTATAAATATATTTAAGTACATGACATACAAGTACAAGTTAGAGTATATTTTAGTTTACCATAAATACTTGGCAGTACACTTTAACTATATTTCAAAGAAATTAGAAATATGAAATATGAAATTAAATATGAAGATATACTGAAGTCCTACTTAAGTGGGTCAGAAAAGCACTATAAAGTTCAGCTAATTGAATTTGATATAAATATAAACTATAATAATAATAAATAAATATTCCAACTGCAATTAAGCGTCCAAAAACATTACCTCCTGTTTGCACTTAAGTACATTCTTCAGTAATTTTTAACAAAAACTCATAAACTCAGAAAATGTCACAATTATTTTATTTATTTCTGTTTTTGTGTGCGTGTGTGTGTTTGAACATTTAAAAAGTGTATTTGTGGTATCTCTTTTGAAAAAATATTTGACACTTTTTATTTTTTGTTATATGGAATGTAATGGCTTTTTTTTTCTTTTTCTTTTTTTTAGGTGTAGTGCATTCTCCAAATTCTTTGTAGGACCGTTAAAAGTGTAAACCAGGATAAATAAAGCTAGACATTTAACAAATACTTAAACAAATTCAATGAAAAAATGAATCGAAAAGTCCACGTATAAGCTTTCAACCAGAACTATTTCTAAAGCAACCATATGGAGAATGCTATTGGGTTTTCGTTTACTTTATGTTTGTGCGTGTGAGTGTTTTATTACCTTCCAGAGTAACAGAACTAGAAGCGCCAGCATTAGTATTCCTGCTAAAACAGCCACAAGAATGATCCACCAGGGAACGCCTCCGAACGGAGTCACGGTCGTCTCCGGGAACACGGTCAGCCTCACCTGCCCATCACATCTACAGTAAGTCTAGCTGTTTTGATGACTCACACAGTACATCATTTACATGTTTAAATGTCTTAAATGTAACAGATTTAACTGTGTTACACTTGAATAGGAAACTGTGTTACCTGGGTCTCAGGATTTTTAAGGACAATGTTCTTGGCAGAAACATCCAGACTTATGGAGGCTTTCACTATTATGTCGAGGTAATTGTAGGACACGTAATCCTGTTTTGGAGAGGAGCACAAAACAGAACGCTTTAACAACCCAGGACATTCTTTCAAAGGAACAAAATAAGCTCTCTTTATTGTCCTTACTTCAAGGAAAGTGGAATTCCACAGGCGGGATTTTAAAATGATGACCGCAGTGCTGTCCAAGCCCTGTAGGGGGCATTTGATCTCCACACATCTGGCATCCCCACTGCATGACTACAAGGAAAAATAAAATTCATTTCAAGAAGTTGTTTTTTGGTGCTGGCATTGCTAAAATGTAAAGTTTCAGTCTCAGTACCAGAATCTTGTGCTTGCGTTTGTCAGGGAAGAGGGCTGTTTTAACCACCTCAGCTGGCTTCCGCTCCTCTAGCTCACGCTTTCTCCTGGTTGATCTTGACTCCTAAAAGTGTCACAGATGGGTGTTGTTATTTGGTTTCATCATCATCAATCTCAGTCAGATAGGTCAATGTTTTCTCAATCTAGCATACTATGTTGACCAGTTTAAAACATTGAAAGCATCAAAAACAGCATTCAATCAGACTTAAACTATGAATATTTGGTACCTCACTCAGTCTGAGAGGGTTCATCTCTCTCTCAGGTGAACAGGTGACTAACTGCAGGTCCCTGGTGTTGATCTTCATCAGATACAGCAGCCATTTCCCCACAGAGCTTTCTTTAGGCCACTGGATGTTCAGGGATGCAGTTCCAAAAGACTTCAGAGGCTTTCCCAAATTAATCACCTGCACAAAATAAAAAAGTAGAGTTAAAAAGAAAAATACCTGAAGTGATATATGAAAGGTATATATGAACTATTTTAGCATTTACTCTGAATTCATATTCGACCAAGCTGCCGACTTCCTCCTCTGTCTTCATGGCGCTCATGCCTCTTACTTCACCTCCAAAATAGACCTGAGATGGCTTGGCAACCCTGATGCACAACAAGAAGACACAGCCATCAGATACAACATGCTTGCTGACATGATGTGACTGGACATAACACAACTAAATGTGTATAGATGCTTGTGAAAAAGAATGCATGTGAATGTGCATTTGTAGTGTATATAAAATCTTAAAACTATATAAAAAAAAACTACTTGCAGATAATATAACATTAATGAAATAAAAGGCAACTTGTGTGTATTTAAAGAGAGTACACTTTCATGAATGTTCAACACATTATGGACACTTTTAAAAAGTGGACTTTACAATAATATCAGATTAAATGTACATTTTAAATCACTGTTTTAATACACATTTGTTTAATTGTAATGTTAACTTTAGTGTGTTATTCAATAAGTTGAAATATACTAAATTGCAACTTCATTCCATGTTTTAAAGAAAATGAAATTACAAATAAATATGTACTCAAGTCCTACCTAAGTGGGTCAAAACATTCTAAAATTCGGCTAATTGAATTTAATATAAATTTAAGCTTGAATTGCAATCGTCATGCTTCCAAAAACATTCAATTCACACTTAAGTATATTCTTTTGAAGCATATTATTTCAGCAATAAGTACTCTAAAGTGTGCTAAAGTGTACTTCTTTTTCACAAGGGGAGTTATTCTGGTAATTATGTGATGGCAGAGATACAGTATGTTAGTAGTTATTAACAGTTGCTTTTAACCTGAGGTTAAAGGGTTAGTTCACCCAAAAATGAAAATTCTGTCATTAATTACTCACCCTCTTGTCGTTTCAAACCCGTAAGACCTTCGTTCATCTTCGCAACACAAATTAAGATATTTTTGATGGAATCAATATACATGTTTAAATCAATAGTGATTCTGAAATTTCAGACATACGTTTCCAGCTGAAGGTCGATCTCGACCTCTTTGGTGTCGAGCGATATCTTGCCAGTGCTCAATATGATATAGAATGTTGCCTACAAAAAACATTTGTATTAAAATGACAATTCATAAATTAGAGTAATATTGCATCTTTGAAGTAGTACTGACCTCCGAATCTCTTTTAAAAGGATTTCCAAGCTCGCAGTCTGCCAGGGAGCCATTCTGATTGGCAGCACAGATCACATGTTTATCCTGCAGGACGACATGGGTTTGGTTACACAACATCATGGCATACAATACAGTTGTATTTAAGGCTTTACGGTTTGCTAGTCTCCTATTGTGAGGACTGTGTGGAAAAAAAGAGATCATCATAATGGGAAATTGAGCCATTTAGTCTACTGAATCCCTTACAAAACTAACTGACTTTAAAAACAACAAGAGAAAGAGTTCATAGAAATATGGCAACAATATTTTTGTTTAATGGTGAAATAATGAATGGAATCGTTCTGAAAAGTGATGGAATTTAGACAGATTTGTGACCCACTTACAGTAGTTCTCAGAGATCTGAATCCAGAGTACGAGAGGGATTCATCAAACTGCCCAACCAATTTGGCTTCATGAGCATCATCTCCATTCCTGTTCCTGACTGTGACCTCCAAAGCAATGTCCTTCTGATCACTCAGAGAAATCACCGGCACCCCATTCTCCCTGAGAGATCCATTTGAAAATTTAGCACCAACTAAGAAACCTTGTATATTGATTATAAATGATAAGCAATCTAGACTATCAGTGTATATAACGATTTTTGTTTATAACAAATGTTTAATAGCATGTTTACACTCTAAAAAAATGCTGGGTTAAATACAACCCAGTGCTGGGTAAAATAGGGACAAACCCAGCAATTGGGTTGTAACATACTATTGCTATTTCACTTTACTTAGTTTTTTCAAGGCAATCGGTTTGCATGCTTTTTTTAAGTAAGCCCAACTAATTAGATTTTACAGTGTAGTTATATATATAAGATCACTATTTATGGTATTAATGCATAATTTTTCACTTGCGATCAGCTGATATATTAGCTGTTAATAGCAGGTGTAAACAGAGCTAATGTAAATGAGCTTCTGTGAGCTGGTGTGTAGTAGTGTGTGATGTTGTTCTGATACACACAGCGGTAGAGGAGGAAACACATCTTGTTTGGACTCCCTGTAGCAGAACCTGTACTGCAGGTGTAGGTTACTCTGACAGATGTTGTCTGTGCCACATCCCTCCTTCAGGAAGTTCACCTAGGCCAGGAAAGATGGTAAATCAAATCTGAAGTCTATGTTGTTGTTTTTTATATTGCTTCATTAATAAGCCATTTTTTGCCTATGCAAGATGTAGTATAATACACAGTTTAGTTGAGTTCCTTAAAAAAATTGTATAAGGCAATCAATGCTTTTTACATCAATTACATTCTAAATCTAAAGATTAAAGTAGAGTTTAAGATGTATTGTATTACTGCACAAAGCGTGCAGTAAGTTATGTTACGAGTATACCTCAGTGCTTTTTTTAAGTAAGCCCAACTAATTAGATTTTACAGTGTAGTAATATATATAAGATCACTATTTATGGTATTAATGCATCATTTTTCACTTGCGATCAGCTGATATATTAGCTGTTAATAGCAGGTGTAGACAGAGCTAATGTAAATGAGCGTCTGTGAGCTGGTGTGTAGTAGTGTGTGATGTTGTTCTGATACACACAGCGGTAGAGGAGGAAACACATCTTGTTTGGACTCCCTGTAGCAGAACCTGTACTGCAGGTGTAGGTTACTCTGACAGATGTTGTCTGTGCCACAACCCTCCTTCAGGAAGTTCACCTAAGCCAGGAAAGATGGCAAATCAAACCTTTTTTAATAGTACTTGTAATAAGTTTTCCTAAATAGCGTGCAGTAAATTGTGGCTATACCTCTGTGATGGTCTTGTTGGGCACAGTGGAGTCTAGTATTGGTGTTAGTTGTGGCAGAGAGCTCTGCCGTTTGCCTCTCTTAGCGCTCTGAATGGCCAAAGACACCTCGATAGGAATGGCTCTGAGCTTATCCCTGATGCCTTCCTGAAAACCAGCACATAGTAGATCCCACTCAGTCAACGTGTATTGAAATAAATAACGACAGCTTAAACAGAGGCTGTTGGAATGTCATAATAATTCCAAAATTCCAAAATGTGAATTAAAGGAATTGTGCACTCAGAAATAAAAATCTCGGGTTACACTTTATTTTAAGGTGTCCTTGTTGCAGTGTAATTATACATGCAAGTACTGAGTAATATTAATTAACTACATGTACTTACTATATGGTTAGGGTTTGGCTTAGGGTTACTTGCATGTAATTATGCATAATTAATTGTTATTATAATAGTAAGTACATGTAACATGTGTAACAAGGACACTTTAAAAAGAAAGTGTTAAAGTGTTACCCCAATGCACTGTTGATGTATGATTCTCGTAAACAAAAACGGACAAGGTTAAAACTCATAAAGTGACTAAGTGACTAAGTCACTGGAGGGGAAGATTTTCATGTTGGTCTGTTCCTCACCAATAGCAATCTCCAATAGCTATATATTTCTTAAATGCATGCTATAGATCTTATTGTGAACCATGCATATGTTTTGGACATCATAATGTTTAATCAAAATGTTATAACTCAATCTTCTGGCGGAAATGACTTTTCTCTGGTGACATATGCAGGACTTCTCCAATCATTTAATCCACTTAAACCTCACCCCTGCGAGCTCACTTTCATCTGCCTCCATATTTGAGTGCCACACCCACATCTCACAAGCCAATCAACAACAGATGCACAGAACCAAGTCCCCGCCCTCCATGCTTTTTTTTTGATAATCAGTTAAACTCGGATGTGCAGCAAAATATCTTTCGCTAATTCCGTTTCATCACAACTTTAAAGCTTTATTTACTTGTAGTCTGAGTTTGGTCTTGTAACAGGCTTTCTTGTTCTGTCCTCGTAGCTCCAGAGAGCCGGTCGACTGGAAGTCCTGATCCATCGCACTCTTCTCCAGAAACACAACCCTAGATGGAAGACCCAGCTTCCTGCGGTACCACTTGCATGCTTTTTTTAAGTAAGCCCAACTAATTAGATTTTACAGTGTAGTAATATATATAAGATCACTATTTATGGTATTAATGCATCATTTTTCACTTGCGATCAGCTGATATATTAGCTGTTAATAGCAGGTGTAGACAGAGCTAATGTAAATGAGCGTCTGTGAGCTGGTGTGTAGTAGTGTGTGATGTTGTTCTGATACACACAGCGGTAGAGGAGGAAACACATCTTGTTTGGACTCCCTGTAGCAGAACCTGTACTGCAGGTGTAGGTTACTCTGACAGATGTTGTCTGTGCCACAACCCTCCTTCAGGAAGTTCACCTAAGCCAGGAAAGATGGCAAATCAAACCTTTTTTTAATAGTACTTGTAATAAGTTTTCCTAAATAGCGTGCAGTAAATTGTGGCTATACCTCTGTGATGGTCTTGTTGGGCACAGTGGAGTCTAGTATTGGTGTTAGTTGTGGCAGAGAGCTCTGCCGTTTGCCTCTCTTAGCGCTCTGAATGGCCAAAGACACCTCGATAGGAATGGCTCTGAGCTTATCCCTGATGCCTTCCTGAAAACCAGCACATAGTAGATCCCACTCAGTCAACGTGTATTGAAATAAATAACGACAGCTTAAACAGAGGCTGTTGGAATGTCATAATAATTCCAAAATTCCTAATTCCAAAATGTGAATTAAAGGAATTCATGCATCAGAAATAAAAATCTCGGGTTACACTTTATTTTAAGGTGTCCTTGTTGCAGTGTAATTATACATGCAAGTACTGAGTAATATTAATTAACTACATGTACTTACTATATGGTTAGGGTTTGGCTTAGGGTTACTTGCATGTAATTATGCATAATTAATTGTTATTATAATAGTAAGTACATGTAACATGTGTAACAAGGACACTTTAAAAAGAAAGTGTTACCAAATCTCGCCAATGCACTGTTGATGTATGATTCTCGTAAACAAAAACGGACAAGGTTAAAACTCATAAAGTGACTAAGTTAACAGTTCACTGGAGGGGAAGATTTTCATGTTGGTCTGTTCCTCACCAATAGCAATCTCCAATAGCTATATATTTCTTAAATGCATGCTATAGATCTTATTGTGAACCATGCATATGTTTTGGACATCATAATGTTTAATCAAAATGTTATAACTCAATCTTCTGGCGGAAATGACTTTTCTCTGGTGACATATGCAGGACTTCTCCAATCATTTAATCCACTTAAACCTCACCCCTGCGAGCTCACTTTCATCTGCCTCCATATTTGAGTGCCACACCCACATCTCACAAGCCAATCAACAACAGATGCACAGAACCAAGTCCCCGCCCTCCATGCTTTTTTTTTGATAATCAGTTAAACTCGGATGTGCAGCAAAATATCTTTCGCTAATTCCGTTTCATCACAACTTTAAAGCTTTATTTACTTGTAGTCTGAGTTTGGTCTTGTAACAGGCTTTCTTGTTCTGTCCTCGTAGCTCCAGAGAGCCGGTCGACTGGAAGTCCTGATCCATCGCACTCTTCTCCAGAAACACAACCCTAGATGGAAGACCCAGCTTCCTGCGGTACCACTCTGCCTCAAGTGTACAGGAAATGGCTGGCAAAATAAATAAATAAAAAATAAACAAACAAAACATTTAGAATGTGTGAGCTTCAGACCTCAATACATTTTTATTTCAGTAAACATACACTCTAAAAAATGCTGGGTTAAATACAACCCAGTGCTGGGTAAAATAGGTACAAACCCAGCAATTGGGTTGTTTTGACCCAGCGGTTGGGTTACTACCCAGAAGGTTGGGTTAAACATTTAACCAAACCGCTGGGTCAAAACAGCTCAATTGCTGGGTTTGTCCCTATTTTACCCAGCACTGGGTTGTATTTAACCCAGCATTTTTTAGAGTGTAGCATCTAGCATCTTGTCTGTCAGCATTAATAACACAGAATACATATGGACTAAATCTTAAGCACTTTTCACATTAAGAACATTAAGTATAAAGATAACAACAATAATGATAACTATATTAGCATTTACACTAACAGATGGTAGCCTTCTGTTTATTATGAGCATATGCTGCCATTATGTCGCCTGCTGCTTAAAACCCTCAAGCTCTTTACAATCGGGTGGATTCTGATTGGCTGACAATGTTTTACAGTTATTGTTATCATCCTCGGTGGGAACAGCCCTTTAGACTAAATAATACAAAATTATAATAAATAATGATTGTTTGTCAATATAAGAGCATAAACAGTCTTACTGAGTTTGGGGTTGTAGGTGGAGGGCTTTGCTTTATATGAGAAACACGCTTCCACGGTCAAGCTATGAAGGATGCAAGATTAAACACACATGAATATTTCCCACAGCACAGAGTTCCAAATGTCTAGCACATTTATGAGAGATGCTTTCTGAGCTCTTGATTTGTCAGGATCTCACCAAACGCTGTTGCCACATGTTTTTTTCATCAAGTCAATTTCCTTCGGTGTCACCTTGATGTCTTTCTTGATGCTAATAACTGTTTTGGACCTGCACACGAGAGGGATGTTATATAACGCTATAGCATCTCAAAACATCTTTAGGTAATGACTTTGACATGAGAAGTGAGCTATCAGTACCTGTATATGAAAACTGTGTCAGAGAGCGAGCCCACGGCGAGATCAGGGTACGAGTTCTGATCCAGGTCCATGTTTCCAGCCAGAGAATAGCCAAACATCTTCATGTTGTGCTGTTTACCCTCCAGTATCTGCAAGATCAGGTCAGATGTCTTAGTGTTTGTAGACAAAGGTAAGGATGTATTAGTTGTTTAACGGCAAAGACTACCAAAAAAAAAAAAATAAATAACCGCCCTCCATGCTTTTTTTTTGATAATCAGTTAAACTCGGATGTGCAGCAAAATATCTTTCGCTAATTCCGTTTCATCACAACTTTAAAGCTTTATTTACTTGTAGTCTGAGTTTGGTCTTGTAACAGGCTTTCTTGTTCTGTCCTCGTAGCTCCAGAGAGCCGGTCGACTGGAAGTCCTGATCCATCGCACTCTTCTCCAGAAACACAACCCTAGATGGAAGACCCAGCTTCCTGCGGTACCACTCTGCCTCAAGTGTACAGGAAATGGCTGGCAAAATAAATAAATAAAAAATAAACAAACAAAACATTTAGAATGTGTGAGCTTCAGACCTCAATACATTTTTATTTCAGTAAACATACACTCTAAAAAATGCTGGGTTAAATACAACCCAGTGCTGGGTAAAATAGGGACAAACCCAGCAATTGAGCTGTTTTGACCCAGCGGTTTGGTTAAATGTTTAACCCAACCTTCTGGGTAGTAACCCAACCGCTGGGTCAAAACAACTCAATTGCTGGGTTTGTCCCTATTTTACCCAGCACTGGGTTGTATTTAACCCAGCATTTTGTAGAGTGTAGCATCTAGCATCTTGTCTGTCAGCATTAATAACACAGAATACATATGGACTAAATCTTAAGCACTTTTCACATTAAGAACATTAAGTATAAAGATAACAACAATAATGATAACTATATTAGCATTTACACTAACAGATGGTAGCCTTCTGTTTATTATGAGCATATGCTGCCATTATGTCGCCTGCTGCTTAAAACCCTCAAGCTCTTTACAATCGGGTGGATTCTGATTGGCTGACAATGTTTTACAGTTATTGTTATCATCCTCGGTGGGAACAGCCCTTTAGACTAAATAATACAAAATTATAATAAATAATGATTGTTTGTCAATATAAGAGCATAAACAGTCTTACTGAGTTTGGGGTTGTAGGTGGAGGGCTTTGCTTTATATGAGAAACACGCTTCCACGGTCAAGCTATGAAGGATGCAAGATTAAACACACATGAATATTTCCCACAGCACAGAGTTCCAAATGTCTAGCACATTTATGAGAGATGCTTTCTGAGCTCTTGATTTGTCAGGATCTCACCAAACGCTGTTGCCACATGTTTTTTTCATCAAGTCAATTTCCTTCGGTGTCACCTTGATGTCTTTCTTGATGCTAATAACTGTTTTGGACCTGCACACGAGAGGGATGTTATATAACGCTATAGCATCTCAAAACATCTTTAGGTAATGACTTTGACATGAGAAGTGAGCTATCAGTACCTGTATATGAAAACTGTGTCAGAGAGCGAGCCCACGGCGAGATCAGGGTACGAGTTCTGATCCAGGTCCATGTTTCCAGCCAGAGAATAGCCAAACATCTTCATGTTGTGCTGTTTACCCTCCAGTATCTGCAAGATCAGGTCAGATGTCTTAGTGTTTGTAGACAAAGGTAAGGATGTATTAGTTGTTTAACGGCAAAGACTACCAAAAAAAAAAAAATAAATGTTGACTATCCCTATAACACATTTGTGGGTGGAGCTACTGTAAATAGCCTCTATCAACAAGGCAGGCTATTTGCACTTAATGTAAACAGACACTCTGGGGGGGGGGAAAATCCATAGACGCTTATAATGCGTGTATCTGGCAACACGACTGAGGCTGAGCCCGCGTCCTCAATCACAACTCGCTCAAGGGATGAGGCCATGTAACGTAACCTTTTCACGATGATAATATATATATTTTTTTTTCATCCAAATAGCTAGCTGAAATACTTATGCGGCCTGCCAGAATGAATTATGGCTTGTACGGCCCCTCATACAGACCCTTTGCTGTGACACTCATATATTTAACTCAGGTGCTGTCCATTTCTTCTGATCATCCTTGAGATGGTTCTACACCTTCATTTGAATCCAGCTGTGTTTGATTATACTGATTGGACTTGATTAGGAAAGCCACACACCTGTCTATATAAGAC